GGGCCCGCTGATAAACAATGTAGTTAGAAAGAGAGGGATACCGTCAGAAGGTATCCCAGGCCCATTTTTGAGCCTCCTGGCAGGCAGGACTCCACCATGGACCAATACTGTGGAAAACGTGTCGAGGTCTTAGGAATAAAATGAGCAGCCACCTGGACGATACAGTCAGTCACACACAGTTGTCTACTGATGGCAGACAGATGAAGGCAGGATCAACTTCAGAGAGAGAGGTGAAAGATGGCCAGTCAGCCTGGTCCAACTTCCACCATGGCACTCGGGTCGAGTGGCATCGACCAAGGCTAACATCCCTCATAATGATAGGAAAATGATCACTGCCACGTGGGTCACTGTCGATCATCCAAGAAAAGTAGAAGAAAAGTTAAGGGGAGCCAATCGAAAGATCAATGGCAGTAAAAGACTGACTAGGTGCATGAAAATAAGTATATGTTCCAGTATTGAAGACAGAAAGGTTGTGATCAGAGAGCATATGCCCTATAGAACGACCCCTTCCATCAATATCAGCACCACCCCAGAGGAGATGGCAACTGGTCAACGAGAGCATCAAGGTCCGATTGATCATAAGTCTCCCCAGGAAACAGGTAGAGATAACAAACATTGATGGTACAACCCAAGGAAACACAGATGGCTACAGCCTCCAAAGGTGTATCGAGGGACACAGATAAGGAGGGCACATGCTTGTCCACCAGCAGTGCCACCCCTCTGTGCACCCATCCATCACACATCAAAGTGGCCATTTTTATGTAAGAGAACAGGGTGGAGAACCCTTTGGTTTATGACCACGCCATTTTTCTTTACTAGATGGAGGTTGCTCGATCACCACATTGCTGTGCATGTTTCAACCAAAATGTTTACAGAACAGAGCTTCTTAACTGACTTTGGAGATCCAGCAAGCCCCTCTAAACTCTTCTGAATAAAAAAAGGAGACATTTGCCCTAAAGATTTATTGGATAGTGAATGCAAGATCAGAAAGTGAGGTACAGGTTCACCATGTGGTGGAAACTGCTGTTCAGAGTCTTCAAGGCATGGTCATTTACCAATTAGCAGAGTTTTTCAATTTTATTTTTTGGATTTGGGGGGATCCATAGTAAAAGAGAAAAACTCAGCACCCACTGTCCCCACTCGCCATGGAGTCCTACGAGGGGACACAATACAATGTCAAACAAGGACACTGCAGCAACGCCAAGGTTTCGTGAGCACTATACCCAAACATCAGTATCAGACATGATGTCCACAACACCCGTTGAGAATGCCCAACACTGGTACTCAGTTGACCCTAGCCCGATGGGACCAACAGATTGACCCTAGGGGAGGCACCTCAA